TGAGCGGGTCACCAGCAGCAGGTGTTGTCAAGAGTGGTACTGAGCAGAGGTAGGCCTTGAGGCCATTGAAAGCGGCTTCGCATTCGGCGAACCATTCAAAAGCCTTGCCCTGCCGTAGCGTATGAAAGAATTGTCGACAGCGATCTGTGGACCGACTGATGAACCTGTGAGTGCGACGGCCATCCCTCTTAACTTCTAAACTTCCTTGACTGATCGAGGGGAGCCGAGTTTTAGGATTGCTATGATTTGCCTTGGGTTGGCTTCGATTCCTCTGTCATTGACAATGTATCCCAAGAATTTGCCAAAGCCGATCCCAAACGCACATTTTGAAGCATTCAGCTTCATTCTATATTTGCGTAGAATACCGAATGTCTCTTCCAGATCGGCTATATGATTCTGCTCTTCCTCGGACTTGACCACCATATCGTCAATGTACACTTCTATAGTGTGGCCGAGTTGCTCCTTGAACATGGCGGTGAGCAGTCTTTGGTAAGTTACCCCTGTATTCTTCAGCCCAAAAGGCGTAACCTTGTAGCAGTAGGTTCCTCTTAGGGTGAGGAATGCAGTTTTGTCCTGGTCCTCTGGATGCATGGCCATTTGATGGTAACCTCTGTAAGCATCGAGGAAGCTCATATGTTGATGGCGTGCCGTCGCATCTACAAGTTGGTCAATTCTAGGCAGGGGAAAACAATCCTTGGGGCAGGCTTTGTTTAGGTCCGTGAAATTGACACACGCTCGCCAAGTCCCATTTTTTTTCTTCACCACCACTGTATTAGAGAGCCATGTAGGGTAAGTCACTTCCCTGATTGCCCCGGTGTCAAGCAGCCTGTCAACCTCCTCAACAACGGCGGCAGTGTGCTCTGCGGCTGACCGCCTGCTTTTCTGAATGATCGGCTTGCACTTAGGATTAACATTCAAACGGTGCTGTGAAATGGACGGATCTATACCCGGCATCCCATATGGAGTCCACGCAAAGACATCAAGGTTGCTGAGCAGGAAAGAGATTAGCTGCTGTCTGTCGGCTTGATTTAGGGAGGCGCTGACTATGAAGAATTTGTCTGGGCTTCCATCGATTTCAACTCAGTCTAAGCTTTCTGTGGCCTTTTCATTTGGGAGCCGCCCAACATCATCGAGGCTCTCTCAATCCGGCACCTCAATGGAATTCACCTGCAGCTCCTTTGGCGTTTTTTCGACAAGGAGATAACATGCTTGTGCCGATTTCTGGGAGCCACGGATTTGCTCAATACCTCGTTCTGTCGAGAAGCGTAGCAGTTGATGGTAGGTGCTTGGCACGGCCTGTATAGTATGCAACCAAGATCGCCCCATGATGAGATTATATGGCGACGGCAGCTTGACGACTAAGAATTCCACATCCATTGTTCGGGAGCCTGCTCAAACGGGTAAAGTAATTTTCCCCAACAGGTACTCTGGATTGGCATTGAAGCCGAATAGTGGAAAAGGGACCGGAGAGAGATCCGATTCGGAGAAACCGAGTGTGGTAAATGTCTTATAATACATAACCTCCGATATGCTCCCCGGATCAATGAGTACGCGCTCAACTGTGAATCGGTTTACACGTAACTCAATTACCAAGGGATCAATGTGGGGCAATGTTACTCCGGCCAAATCTGAATCATCAAAAGTAATGCCTGTGGCTTCATGGGGCCGTTTAGCCAGAGTGAATTGACTTTGTGGGTCGGAGTTCGATTGAATCGTATGCACAGCCGATGACATTGGCAGGCTGTATATTATGTGAATCACGCCAAGCGGAGGTGAATCCTGTCTTAAGGCTATTGCCTTGGTTGGGTTGCCTTTTTGGACGTACTGTTGTAACCGGCCTTCTTGTACCAATTCCTCCAGGTAATCCTTTAGCGCATAACAACTCTCAGTATCATGGCCATGGTCCTTGTGATACTCACACCGTCTATCCCGTCTTCTCGTGTCGAGAGGTCCCACCATTTTTGACGGCCACTTGAAGAACGGAAGATGTTGGATTTTGGACATGACTGGGCTGATCGGTTCTGACAACTCAGTATATTTCTTGTCGACACGCCTTGTGCGCCTGCTATCGACTTGCAGCTGTTCATTCGATCGGTGGGAGCATTGGTCACTTGATCGGCGAGAATCCCGTCTCTTATCTCATTTTGCCCGATGCCATGGTTCAGGGCTCTGAGGTGCTACAGAATTTAATGACTGAGCAATTTCAACAAGAGCCGTCTTGTTGGTCACATTTCCGGCTTTATCCCGCAAGGCATCATCTTCCACTTTACAGTATTCTTCAACTTTCTTTATCAACGACCAAATTGTTTTGGGGGGCCGTCTGGTCAGAGAGCTACGAAGGGCACTGTCGGGATGCAGCCCCATCTTGAAGGCGGTGATGGCCATGGAGTCATTGCAAGCATTGTTTACCAGATTGAAACATTCCCAATACCGCGCCGAATATGCACGAAGGGTTTCCCCCGGTTGAATCCGCGCTGAATGTTCTTTTATGTCTTCTCATTTTTTCTCCTCTCCCTTAGTTTTGTGTCTGCTCATCAGTGACTACCGGAGGGTCTTCTGTTACGCCTGCCATGGATATATTTGAGTATTCCCACAGACAGTGTCAATTGTGGAGAAGTGGTTTAGAAATACTCTTCTGATCTTGGGGGACGCTCATGATCCTCTGCTAGTTACCTGAAAAGGAATAAACACTCCTGTCGGGGGTGCCGGAATTAGCACTCTGACGGGTAAGTCAGTCTCTACACTCAGGATTACTTGTATTATAAGTTAAGCATAATAGTTCTCACATACCTTTCTTAGTCTCAGTGTTTTTAAAGGCTCAAGGCACACTAAGGCGCTGAAGGTGTCTCGGGGCCTAGGCGCAAGGCGAGGTGCGGGCTTTATTGAAGTAAGGCGCACAGTCTTCGTAAAAAATAGAAAAATTAATATAAACTAATCATTCATAGTACTAAGACAATTTTTTACATACTAGTACTTACTACACAACACAAAAAATAAATAACAGAAAAAAAACAATTTCAATATAATGATTATTACATAAATAAAAAAAAATAACAAATTTCATACATACAATTTCAGTATAATGTTTAAATTAAATAACAATTTCAGTATAATTAATTAATTCATACATAGATAAATAAATAAAAGAGATACATAAATTAATTAATTATTATGATTATTACATACATAAATAAATTAATTAATTAATTCATACATACATAAATAAATAAATAAACATAATTAATTCATAAATAAAAATTATTATGATTATATGATTATATAATTAATTCAAAAAATAAAAATAATTAATTCATAAATTAATTATTATGATTATAACAATTTCAGTATAATGTTTAAATTAAATAACAATTTCAGTATAATGTTTAAATGATGAATCAATTTCAGTATAATCATAATGAATGTAATGTATCTATTTTTTTTATTTATGTATGTAATAATCATAATGAATGTAATGTATGTATAAATTAATTAATTAATTAATTTATGTAATGTATCTAATTTATTTATTTCAGTATAATCTATTTATGTATGAATTAATTAATTAATTTAATTTAATTCATGTATGTCATTTTTATTTTATTTTTTTAACAGAGACAGAGTCAAAACAAAGGAAAAAAATAAAAACAAAAAATAGAACAGAGCTAACTAGCAAAATAAAAGGGGAAAAAAAAACAAACAAACAAACAGAGCTTCGATTCGATAGAGAAGAGCCCAGTCGGAAGAAGAAGAGGAGCCCAACGAGCGAAGTAGAAGAAGAAAAAAAAAAAAAAAAAAAAACGATCGAGGTTCGAAGAAGGAGTCGAAGGAGGTTCACGAAGAAGAAGAAGAAGAGGAGGAGTACCTGGTTCGAGAGAGAGAGACGAGCCCAGTCGGAAGGAGTCGAAGGAGCTTCGTCGAAGGAGAACACAGATTAGGGCTTCAATTAGGTTCGATTTGAGTCCTCTTCTCTTTTCAGATGTATTGTATTGCATCTGAGTTGTAATCGTATGTGTTAGAGGCAAGAGCTTCACAATTTTCAGCCGTCAGATATGAATTAAGCACAAACCGAAGAAGCCCAACTAGGCGCGCGACTTGCGCCTCTCTGCGCCTCTTCCAGGCGCACCCAAGGCGCGCGACTGTTATACCTCGCCTCGCCTGGGCCTCCTCAAGTCGCACCGGCTGCGCCTCGCCTCGCCTGGCGCCTAGGCGCGCGCCTAGGCGCCCCTTTGACAACACTGCTTAGTCTGTTGTTCCTTTATTTATACTTGTTTCCTGGGCCCCAGGGCCAGGCCCACTTTTCACTCATTATCCTCTTATTTACTCGGCTCCATAGTTCAATAGATACTCAACCTATCTATTGCATTCGGCCTCCTGATCGTGCAAGATAGAGCCGAGTAATATCTGTCTTCTAGAGTGTACGTTTCTGATTCTACCATTTATCCGGCTCCCACAATATCCTATATATCATGTAATAGAATTCATTGATATCATACTTTTTTGTTTTTAATAGTCAAATGTTTCATGTTGGAGTTTCAGTGTCTCTTATATGCAATTTTTCAGGAAGCTCGAAAGGTATTCAAGGTTATGAATGAATCAATAGGATATATTTAAAGTTATTGAGTCATAAATCCTAATTCAAAGTTTTTGTCCAATTAACCCCTCTAGTTTATTTTCCTCCATTTTACTTCCTCTGGTTTCTTTTCTTCCCAAACAAACATCACGAAAACTACACTAAATCAACACCAAAAATAAAAGTTTACAATGATTCATCAAAACTAACAAAAGGAGACCAGAAAAAGCAGTTATTTTCTCTTTTAGAACACCAAAATTTTAGTTTTCACAGATAACAATCATGCAACCTTCCACTGAATTTAAACATAAGAAACAAATGTTGAAACCAATAAAATAAACAAATGTACAAGTTATATCATAAAGATTTTGCTTTTCGATTTGCCCATCAGGCATACCATATAGTTTAGATATACTGAAACTTAGAGGACCTTGTGGGACAAAATATGTACATGCCCAAGAAGAAGTTCAGCAAGAACACAACCAGCAGACCAGATGTCAATAGCTGTAGTATACTCCATTGCTCCAAATATAAGCTCAGCTGTAAGAGCTATTAGGCTCTCCTTTTCCTGCCAAAAATAAGGAATCAAGCATTTCAACCAAAACACAAAACTAAGGGAGAGGGAAAAAAATGAGAAGCCATAAAAGAACATACCAAAACTTTAGAACTTCCAAAATCAAGTTCTTATTTGCAAAAGAGTCAATAAGGTGGTGGGAAAAAAAACCATATAAGAATGGGCACCATGTTACAAACTAATGGAAAAATGTGAAATAATTACAATTACACAGGAGGGGCTATAGAACTCTAATAATTATATAGCATATTAATTAGGATACAAGTTAGAGTGTCCTTTGGAAATTAAGCCAAATTTCTGCACTAATAAATCAATATATCTGGGAGTTCTGCAGCCTCAACTCTACTTTAGTGTCCTAGAAAAGATGCCTATTCCCCTCTTAGTTTTTGATTACTTATTAAATTATATTTATATATACATTGCAGCTTTGTTTTTTTTTTTTTTTTTAACAAAACCCCTATCACATGGTCCTCTCATCAGTTTCATGAATCTCTGTTCATAGTATATCATAACTGGATTGGACAGTGAACAGTTTTGGATTTATCTTTCAAAAAACAAATCTTTTCAATTTTGTTTGAACTAGTGAATTTTCGAATTTAGGAGGTACTCAAATTGATTGTTTCTAAAGAACATTACCCGGTGTTGATCCTAGTAATTGAGGATGTTGGGGTGTGTAAAGATTGGAAGAAGACTCGAACCTTCATGCTCACACTTGAGCAATGCCCCTATTCTTTCATATGATTCTTCAAAACTAATACTGAGATGTGAAATATGTGTCTAGAAAATATGATGTAAGAAAAGCTAGTAATATGGGATATATATTCTGATCCAATAGGTTGACGGGCCTTCATATAATGGAACATCTAGATTCATGTAGTTCACTAAGCTTGCTAATAATGTTTAGGAAGACATCTTATTTGCGCTTTTCTTTTTTTTCTTTCTTTCTTTTTTTTTTTTTTTTTTTTTTTTTTTTTTTTTTTTTTTTTTTTTTTTTTTTTTTTTTTTGTTTTTGTTTTTTTTTGCATATGCTAATGTGCATTATACGATGCAGGTTCCATCTAACGTTGGTTCTTACTGCAACAGTATGCTGCTGGATGGTGTAAGTTTGATTTTTAGTTGAACTTTCTTCTTTTAGCAGCAAAATCAAAACATGAATTATTACTTATCAAAAAATATATATATATCCAAACATGAATGTCATGTTTAAAACAATAAATTCATGTTTCATGTAGCTAATTATGGAGAACTGCAGTACATATGCATTTAGGCTCCGATTGCTTGAGACATCACAATCTTGTGACTAGAATATTGATTAAGGAGGAAAATCAGGTCACAACATGCTGTTAAACAGAAAATTAAAAGCTAGAATAAAAATTACTTATTCCTAATCAATCCATTTATGTAATTCTTCTCCATTCATCAGAAAATTATGGTTCTTATATCAAACCAAACCCGTTAATCAAGACCAAATCTGCTCAGGGATTCAACTTCTGTGGATTTCTCTTTGAATTTCCCTACTATATCACTCTTAGAATGGATTCAAATTCAAATCTCTCACAACAAATTTACAATTAAATATGAACTTCATGATCAGCGAGAGAATTTACCGCTTGAAATCGCAAGGAGCAACGTCAGGCAAGAGGTGAGGTGATCCAAACACTAGGAGGAGACTCAAGATCGTAAACCCTAGGAGAAGAATCGACGGGAAGGAAAAGCTCGAGAGAGAGAGAGAGAGAGAGCATAGAAAATCGAAATCGAAATCGAAATCGACAGATAGAGGAGATGGTGCTCACCTTAGTAGACGGTGGTGCAGATAGTGGTGGTGATGGTGCTTTCCTCGCCGGTGCAGATGATGGTTGCGGTGGAGCTTCGAAATCGATTTTCTCACAATAGTTCTCAGAGCCCGAGTGTGAGGAGGAAGAAATGAGAGCCCGACTTTCTCGGTCTCACAATCGATTTTTAATCCAAAAAAAGCAATCAACTTTTTAGTCACAGTTTTTGAAAAACTGAGATCGATGAATTTCAAAACAACGAAGTATTTATCTCACTTAAAAACTGAGATTATTTCATCACACTCTCATAAAAACTGAGATGTTTTTATTTTTTATTTTTAGGTCAAGTTTGGCATAATTAAAAAAAGATAAAAAGTTAAAAAGTTACTATCATTTTATTTAAATCACATTACCTTTTTAATACATCACTTCAAACCCAGTCCAAACCCAACTCATATTTCATAAAAAGTCAAAAAGTGCACTTATTTAGTCTTTCCAAACTAGGCACCCTTACCTAATATTATGGGTGTTTGGAAAGTTGTTATTTTAATAAGTTATTTTAATTTTTAACTATTTTAGGAGGCTAAAATTTTTATATTTAAGAATAAAGTTGGATTTTTTTATAATTAGATATGATGTTTATGAAAGAAAAAGTGAAATAATTATGAATTTGATGTGCCATTTTATCTTATTAACTATTTTAACTTATTTTATTTTTTAGTACTATTTTAATTAAAAAAAAAAAAAAAGTCAAAAAAACCTTATTCCCAAACACTTCATTGTAGCAGTGATCGTAAACCAATGATATCATTCTGATCCATCACCAGCCACGGTGAGTGGCGTTCCCACAAACACCTGAAAATTAAAAAATTAAAAATAAAATTAAAAATAAAAAGAGAGAGAAAGAAATAGTAGTAGCTGCAAAATTAAGAAGCTATTTGATATGGAAAATGTAGATGAGAAACCACTAAAGGCGGTTATTATCTCTTGTACAACATGAGTTCTGAAAACAAGGGAAATTGATTGAATAGAAGAGAAAAAACAGTCGCATAGCGAGTTTTGAGACAGAACTTTTCCTGAAGGGTATATCAAACTTATCTCAAAGAAAATAGCTTTAAAATTAGGATAAATTATACTGACATATTTTAAGATTTTTATTTAATACAGATTTTCTCTTCATATTTAAAAAATTACACTTATTCTCCTATCAGATTAAAATGACATATTTACCTCTTAACTCTTATATATATAAAATAATAAACAAATGCAAATAGTTTGCTCATGTCATTTCAAAGGAAACAATAATCATTTTATTTGATTTAATTCACACAAAAAATTAAGTTTTTTTATTTTTCATATTTTTTATTTTTACTAAATTTTTTGAATATTTTCAGCAATTTTTTTATTTTTATTTTTTAGATACACCTAATCTAGATATACTTAAGAAATATAATATTTTGTGTTTTTTTTTTAAATTCACCAAATATAAAAAAAATACAAAATACAAAAATTTAGTACATTATCTTATTTTGTTGTATTCAATGATGTTTTTTAAATTTTTTTTGTATAAATTTTATACTTTTTAAATATATCTAGATCAAATTGATCTAAAAAGTAAAAACAAATTGATGAAAATATTTTAAAAATTATTAAAAATACAAAAATATAGATTAAAAACTGAGAAAATTAAAAACTCCATGAGGGTGTGGAGTACATTTTTGTTGATGTTATTTTTGTATAAACGTATACATGTATTGTATTTTTGTGCTTTCAAGTTTGATTGGAGGGTTGGTTAGATTTTACGTGAATGGCGGTATTTGACAATACTATAACAAATGTGGGTGAACAGACGAGAAAGAAAAATGATGGTAGAAATAAAAATGAAAAATTATATTCATATATAAAAATTTATAGAAAAAAAAGTCATAAAAATGTTGTGATAGTAATATTGTTGTAAATATAAATCATGTTTGCGGATGTTTTGTTTTAAAGTGAAAGGTTACCATTAAACTATATCATTGTGTTTGAAAATTCTATATAATATTTATATTTGTATATCATCCATCAATAAGAATATGTTCAGATAGCATTTAATAATAGAACGTTGTAGAATGTAGTCATGATGATAAGGAGAATAAATGATAGGACAAAAGAAAATATGGTCATTTATAAAATTTTAAGGTATGACATTAGCAATACATTAGGTAATTTGTAATGAGATTACAAATCTTAAGGAGATGAATATAATTTTCAAATATGAAGGAGATCTGTATTAAAAATAAACATCGTGAGGTGTCAGTGTAATTTACCCTTAAAATCATCATGCTCTTTATGGGATTAATTTTGGTGCAAACTTCACTTTATCCCCCATAGTTTAGGCCATGTGCGGATTACCCCATGAATATCACCACATAACTCCCACGTGATTGATGGACTAAAATGCACATTAACTTCTATTAACAAAAGTTGTAAATTAACAATTATACCCTCATCTTCATTTTGTTTTTCTCTCTCTCCAAACCCAGTTCTCTCTATCTCCATCTTCATCTCCATCTTCTTCTTTTCTCTCTCTCCATTTCAAACTTTATACAATCTCATCTTCATCTTAAACCCACTTCCAAACGCAATCTGCCAAACTCTATACCCTTTCTTCATCCTCCTTTTGGCTTCAATATAGTTCAGTTCATACCACAGCGATGACGACGACGTGTTTCCAAATCGATGCAAAGTCATCCTCGATGCCTCCACATGCTGCGCCAATAGCTGCAGATTATACAAATATATATATGTGTGTATGTGTGGGGGGGGAGGAATTTCAGTTCTCTTCAATCAATAAATAAATAAATTAAAATTGATTTGGAGTTCTTTATTGACCTTGATGGTTCCTGGCCAGAATTCTGTACCTTTGAATATGAAGCAAATGATGCAGCACTGATGCCGATAGAAAACCTGGACCAAAAATAAATACATCAAATGAGAATAGTCTCACTTAAGGCTTCATTCAATAAGCACCATTGGAATTTCGAGCTGAGTTCAATTCATTCTCCAAGTAAACGATGATTTTGATTTACAGTTACAAATGGGTCATTCAAATTGGTCTGTTAAATAGGGATCCCAATCAGCAATAATTTCTCCTACCACTGCACATATCAAACATATCCTTGATAATGAATCTTTCATGTAATCCTATTACTTATTTATTTCATTTACATAGAATCAACAGGGAAAGCAAGAAAAGACTAGCTCTGATTTCCTTTTTTTTCTTCATTGTCACCATTTTCTCCCCCAAACACTATGATTTTCCCAATCAGATTTCCATAGCAGACAAAAGAATGGTATTGTGATGTTATTGTGATGTTTTCCAGCAAGTATTGGAGGTGTTGATGGATATGTAGAAATAGAGTAGATAGAGATATAGTAGAGAGAGAAAAAAGAATGGCATTTTTTATAAATTTGAAGTTGTGCAAGGGGTATTTTCGTCTTCAAAATGAACCTACTCTCCACATAGGCGAGTGTTTCTCACGTTCCGTCATGTTAGACAGAAAAGCTAATGGTGCACTTTAGTCCATCATCCACATAGGGGTTATGTGGTGATATTCGAATGTCAAGGGGGTAAACCGCACCCAGCTCAAACCACAGGGGTTAAAGTGAAGTTTGCCCTTAATTTTATCGTTCAATGATAATGGCTTTCTTACCCTATTCTGAACAACAATTTGTGCACATAGGACAATGAAAAAAATTTTCCAGGGACTTCCACAAAATAAAAGCAAATACCAGCGTAAGGAAGTTTTTAACTTGATATCAACTTTAACAGACCTATAAATTTTAAGAGAAGTGTCACGTGTCACTGTTTTGTATCATGTTTACGTTGACTTGTAATTAGTTTCTTTGTTTAGAAATAATTATTAAGGAAATAATGATGGCCAAAAATATCTTGCCATGTATCCCAATATGTATGGTGAAAAAAAAAATTGATATACAGTAGTCCTCAAATCTAAAATGAAAAAAATAATAATAAAAATAAAGAAATTGTAGATATGCCAATTGTCACGATATCTATTTTGAAACAAAAGCAAACTTATAGTAAGTTCTCAACCTACTTACCAGTTGAACAATGATGAAGGCAACAACAAGAAGAGGACCAGGTCTTTCAGTGAAGGACCATCACCCAGAACGTGTCACAAATATTACGGCCTGACTGATGGTGCTAACTTTAAGGTACATGGCAGATGCTAGCTTTCCATTAAGTTATTTGGCAATTTCCTTATCTGTGAGATTATATTTAGAATCTCTTAAATCCGTTACATGGAAATGCTTCTAAGGAAGGAGAAAAAAAAAAGAAAAAAAAGAAAAGAAAAGAAAAGAAAAGAAATTGCTCAAGAAATCCTAGAGGACTTTAAGGCCTTCTCAAGATGAATCCTTGAGATGGCAAAGTGTTCATGCAACATAAATAGGGTCTTGCCTAGGTTTAAAAGAAACATTGCAAGTCCATGATAAGGGCCTCTAAATCTAAGGAAGATGACTTGATAGTTGATGCATCATAATTTGTATCGTATAATATTAGCAATGTTTTAGATACAGGTAGTGACATCACAAACAATTCAAATAGAGCACTTTAAGAGAACTGAAGAAAACTCTTATTAAACCTCTCAAGATAAGAGTAATGTTAAGTACCTTGGGTTTGTCCAACAACAACAGTGTAAGGAGGCACGGGCTGTTTACTGGGTGACCTGAAAATCTGCAAATAACACCAATGTTAGATATTAGGAATGAAAATTTCAGTGAGGATGAGGAAGAGATTGTTAGGTTTTTGTAATTGGCAAATAATCTCATTTGACAAAACTCATTTCAGTTGTAATTTTATTCGCTCTTTTGTTTCAGTGAGGCTGTGAGTGTTTAGAAGCCAATCCAACCCAAGTAGTGCCTGGGTAGTGGAGTTTGTGCTGACATTTCGTATCTTAAGCATTCTTTGTTTGCCACTTCACTGACTATGTATGGGGATTGAGCTGCCTAGTCAACTTACGGGTGTCCAGGGAGCAGTTCCCATGGCGGGTCCAGAGCAGCGTCCAGGCAGCGTAGAGTGGCAGTGCCTCCAAAGCCAAAGTTGTTTGATCGCTCGAGCGGTGAATAGGAGCATCCAGTATCTCTGTCTACAAATTGAACTTCTGGGAAATAAGTCTTACCGCTCGAGCGATGAATGTTGCGCTCCAGCAGTCGGCCTATATGTTTTGTACCGCTATTACTCACACCGCTTAAGGGTTGAAGTGTGCGCTCAAGCGGTTTTCGCGA